TCCTAAATTACAATACCAAAAAAGCAATGCAGGCTGAATCAGACCACTTACAATCTTGGCTCTCTAAAAGGGAACTACATGAGGATAGTAATAACTACAACAAGAAGAGTATAACTGCTACAATGATAAAAAGTAACCTATACTATCCACTGCTCATGAACAAGTCTACTGGCGTGAGGGACAAAGTCTGGTTTGGTGAGGTAGAATTTTGTATCAAGAAAGGTTTCATCTTGTACTCCGATTACGTTGTAATAATAAATAAGTCTACACTACAATCAGAGAGACAATAGGTTATATCTTTTAATAAATAAAAGCATAGAAATAGAGAATAGTTACCCTGGTAACTTCTTTGGTTTTCTTCCTCTTCTTCAGCACTTTCCGCTTCCTGTTGAAGGTGATAAATAGCATTAAAAGCAATGAAAATTAAAAGAGGTGAGACATATCCTTTTCTATATGCCATAAGATTAATTCAAATTCATCTTTACCATCTATTAATCATTAATATTTAGTTAGGTGAATATCTCATTACACTTGAAAATATTTGGTGTTGCTTTTATTTCTGAAACCATGATCAGTGATAAACAGGGTTCACTTCACAATGACAACCTAAACATTGATACGTTTAAAGTAAAAAACTGGTACATTTAATATTACAATATATATATATATTTTTTCTCTCTCTTTCTCTCACTCACCCGCAACTCCTTGAGGCGCTGCAAAAAGCAAGCGTGCAAAAGCAACATATGTAAGGCAACGTCAGACAAAGAAAATGAGAAAAAAAAAGAATAACAATCATAAAAAAAAAAAACAGCACTCATTAGCACCCTGCACTAAGACTTGAAAACATGAAAACTTTCTATCTGAACATTATTTTCTTTTCACCACATACAGGAAATTAATTTTTCTCAAATAAAGAACTTAAAATTTTGATTTCTTACTTTATATTTAATGCAAATATCATTTATAAAAATACATTGCACTGTCTTAACTTGCTTGTAACACACAAATCTGTGGTGAAAAGGAGGTCTCACAAATTAAGATTTATGGGTTTTAATGGTAGTACTGGGTTTTAGATACTATAATCAAGAGCACTGTTTAGGAACACCAACATTTACATACACTAGGGATTACCCAAAAGACAACAGTTAGGTTCTAATTATATCACATATTCAATTTACTGGTGTGGTACATGTAGCTATCTCACAAATGTTAGGTCTGCACTTGATGGATTTTAGACTAAAAATCACTTATACCTAAAAAAAAAAAAGGCTCTATTGTATTACACGTATCTTAGTTATGTGGAAAAACCTGACAAGAATCTGTTAGGAATTTCCATCAGGTGTCTACTTCATGGTCTTTGGTAAGTTTCTGTTAGTACACACATGCCAGGGACTATGAAATATTCTCAAGCCTTAGTTTACTGTTGCTTTATTATACAGCCATTGAGGCAAAAAACAAAATCTGTAAAGCAAGGCCAGATGGAGAAAAGGAAGAGAGAAAAAAATAGAGAATTAGAGAGAAAGGAGGGAGGAAAGTGGGGAAAAAAGAGAAGAGAGAAGGGGAGAGGAAAAAAAAAAAGAGCTAAAAGGGGGCAGGGAGGGAGGACAGAGAGAGGGGAAAATGAAAGAAAGAAAGAAATGTGTACAGAGGTGAGTGGGGAGAGAAGAGGAAAGACAGAGACAGAGAAGCTACATTTTAGAATAGCACATCAACAGGCTGAAAGAAAGAAAGAAAGAAAAGAAAAGAAAAGAAAAAAATCATATTATACTCACTTTCATCATATCTTGCTCATCATATGAAACATCAAGGGAGACATCTCGATTGAGTGTGGTGTCTCTTGATGGTCCTAGCTCATAGCGGAAAGCATCGAAGCCAGACTGGTCTAGGTGAGCCTTGGCCATTGCTCTTTCAATGTCATCAGTGACCAGTTCAACGTTAAATATGCACTGGTTCACAATGTCATCACGGCCAATCTTACGCAGTCCCTTCTCAAGAGTGTTACCATTTGCCTGTAAAGATTTAATTTAAAATAGGAAAAACACCAAACTGTGAATGCCATTCTGTAGATTAGATACCTACTGATGGGATTCAATAAATTGCTAGCAAAAGTAAATGAAATGAAGCTTACATATTCATATTTCAACAATAATATCTATTCCTTATAAACTAACTTAAATATCTATATAACCATTTAAATTAACCATTTGAATTTGTTTACCTTATTCCCCGATGTCTGCATCCACAGTCTGAGCATGACAATAGCTTGTTTTGGGGCATTATCTGGGTACTGAGATTTGATGATGTTAATATCAGAGTCACTAATCTCCAATTCCCGGGCTAGGCCAACCCAGTCAGTTCCAAGCATGTTAGAGATGTCTGTGAGACGTAGGTCAGCTTTGTGGATGGTGTCAGCTTTGCCTAAAGAAGATAATACTCATTATTAGCATAAATATTCAAATTTGTTCTGAAGTATACAACTTTCCCACAGAGATATCAAAATATTTATTTATTACTGCTCAGAGCCACTTTCCTTATATTAACCCCTTGGTGCCAGGTATGACGTGTACGTACGTGCTATGCCCACCGTGAGTACTTGTTTGATTGTTTTTACGCATAGATGGCAACACTTGTACTAACTCCCCAATGAGCCAACTACGAGTACTGGTCGTCTCGCCCACAGAGATATCAAAATATTTATTTATTACTGCTCAGAGCCACTTTCCTTATATTAACCCCTTGGTGCCAGGTATGACGTGTACGTACGTGCTATGCCCACCGTGAGTACTTGTTTGATTGTTTTTACGCATAGATGGCAACACTTGTACTAACTCCCCAATGAGCCAACTACGAGTACTGGTCGTCTCGCCCGTTTACCCGTTTCTTTGATTTACGAAATATTTTACGTAATCTTATTTTGCTGTTACTAATGTTAAAAAACATTATAAAAATTATAATGTTTATGATAAAAATAACACCATCGATGTTCATAGCACTAGTGAAAAATATGTTTTTCCCGCCATTTAAATCCGGCGCTAGCAGAGCCATCTACCGGCAGACATTTCACGAAAAACATAGAAAGTGGGCACAATATTTTCCCCATTTTTTGTTCATTTTCCCCGGCACCATTGGGTTAAGAAATGGATAAGGAATTATTTGTATATAACTTTCCCTTCAAGGCATGCTTTTAATCCAGAGAAAACACCTGTTAAATATTTCAAATTATATAACAACTTCCAGATGTCTCCATTACTATATATGAATTCTTAAGGATGCATTAAAAAAAAATACATCATATTACATTTTATAATAAATTTAATCCAACTGACAGATTAAACAGGATAAAAAAATAAACTTACTCAATGACAATTGTGAACAAAACCCAAGGAAATGTACAAAAATTCAACATTCATTGTTATGGTATATTTGTACTGAATGTCCCAGTTATCTCAAACTACCCAGTATTAATAAAAAAACACACTGGCCATGGCAGCTTTGTAAGCAGTAACCTAATGGAGAGTCAATAATCACATACTCAAATGTTAGGCATTAACCTGTCTACAGCCATATGTGAGTGGTTCCAGTGAGGTCCCTTTGTATTTCACACACTAATGATACTCACACATTTCTTTTTTTTATTTTGATGATGAGGCTCACGTCTCTTCAATTCCACCAATATATAGCTTTATTTATATATTCATTTTTTTCCACAGGATTGGGCTAGTGATCCCCGTGTTAAGGAGAGGTAGTTAGGCCAAGATTAGCTATTATTTTGATTAATAAACTGCAGACATGAGACAATGGTAACATAAAATACTAAATTATTGCAGTGAAAGGTTAAGTCACATATACTACTACTAAAATCTTGAGCCGAAATCAATTCAAATCAGGGGTATATAATATAACAATCCATAAAAGAATTAATAGACCTGACTAGGATTATGTGGCAGTGTATGAGGACGGGTAAATAATAACAGTCCACAGACAGAAAAAATATTGCTGTGGCTATTAACAAAATAGTTTTCAAAAGGTGAGCCATTCCTTTTGATGGAGAGTTAGTCAGAAATAATAGTTACAGTGACTTTATGCACAAAATGTAGCATTGGTACACAGTTCACTATGCAGGAACAGAATCTAACAAAACTTAGGAAAACTTAATTGCATAAAATAGAAATTTTGGAAAGTTTGACATCAGAAACATATTCATTAATTCCCATTCCTTTGCTATCAAAAACCCAATTAATAATCTTAGAAAGAAAGAAAGACCTATTTCCTTCACAAATTCTGTACCTGTCAAAGAGTAAACAAAAAGAAGCATCCACAATACACTGGTAATGGGTAGAGGAAAAAGGATTTTGAGACAGAGACAGTAGCTACTCACTAATGGAGAGGAAGGAGTATTTCTTCTCCAGGGCGAGGAGGTCAGGTTCTGAGGGCGCAGGCTCAGGCTGGATGTTGTCAGGCAGGGCAATGTTCAGGTTACAGATGGGGGTCTGAGGGGGGTCACCACGCCCAACCTGAAACACAGGGGGTTTTAGCAAGCTCATTAGCGAGGCCTTCTTCCAGCGCCCGTCCTGGAAGACCAAAGGGAGAGCAGGGCACCATGTTTTAGAGCAAGCCAGTTCTGTTGTAATTAGTAATTTATATACTCACACATGATAGCTACTACATTTCATGAATGAAATATATTTCAACACTGCCATACCTTGTGAGTGTTTGTGTATGTGGTGTAATTATGCATAAGCATTTATGCGAAATTAGTATAAATTGGTAAGCCTGTACTTAGTCATCCACTTAAATTACAGAAATTCATTCATATATCAAATATCCAAGTGTAGCCATGCACACATCCAGACAGGAATATGCATATTTGCAAGCATATGCATATCTGCACGCACACACGCACACACGCACACGCAAACAAACAAAATGGCCTTACTCTTTTCTTTTTTTCTGAACTGCTTGCATCAATCTCATATCTATTATAAACAACTTACAAAATA